AAATATCAAACAGATGTGTCATACTCTGTGGTATCTTTTATCTCAAGCTCACCAGGATATATCGTATCGACATAAGAATGAAAATAGCCATTGTTAATTGACAATACGTCGTCGATATACCTAAATGTCGAGTTGAAGGCCATAGCAAGTGTTTTCTTCTTTTCACGTACAAGATTTTGGACAAATTCTGCTTCATATGAATACAAAAAAAAGGTCTGCTAATAACGGGGCGCAATTGGTACCCATGGGAATTCCAATAGATTGTTGGAAGACCTGGTCTCCAAAAACCACATAGATATTGTCAATCAGAAACTCAAGCATCTTTTTAATGTCAATTTCAGAGTACTTGTGTGTACAATCAGAATGTTTTTTAACAAAATAATTTTGCAAATGACCAATGACAAGGTAAGTATATTTACGAGTTCCATTTTTATTGAAAAAGCAGCTGTCAATTATATCAAAAAGCCTGGACTTTAATTTAAGTAAATTATATTGATACCGGTATATTTAGATAAAATGTTGTGAAAAAATAGAACATACATAGCCCAGGAATTGAAAATTCACATGTAAGTATGCTACACTTTAGGTTTTCTAAAGAGAAAAAAAATATAATTCAATCTTTACAAAACATCAAGAGATTGACTGAATTGGAACCCAGATTAAACTGTGTCAAAATGAGGAACATTGAACCGACAGTTTCAGATATTTTGGCGATTTAAAAAAAAATATTCAATGCAAAAAAAATAAATAAAAGAATAATTAGATGACGTCGCGGTATTTGACCTTTGACCTCTAAATATGACTCTTGACCTTTGTTGTGTGTAGAGAATGGCGCCTCCTTACAAATATTACCAAATATCTGGTCTCTACTTTAAATGGATCAAAAGTTACTTTGCATTTAATAACAGAGTGTCATATCACATTTAGGTGGCATAAACTCATTCTAAAACGTAGGTTGTCGAATGACTGATATATAGGATTCTCTAATTATTTATAAAATATGGCACAAAAACATGTCATAGGTTATTAATTTTCTTACAAAGATGATTGATTATTGACATTATAGTGATTTTAAAAATCTGTGGTTATATTTCAGTACATCAGAAGCTAAAAAAATATATCATATATTTTTTTAAGTTAATGAATACTAGTTGGATGTATACGATGGTTGTCAGAAAAGTTCGCGGACACATTGATTTATTGTATATTTTGAAGAATGGCCTATGTCTAATTAAATTCTTATCTCTTGTTGATTAGTATGTAAAAAAAATCAGATCCCTTTACTAAATTTAAAAAAATATATATAATGATTTTCATTGCGCGGTCATAGGATTCACGGAGAAATTATTTGACGCATTTTGACGTTAGGTTACTCGACAACCTGATTTCAAACTTGTTGAGCTTTTTCTCATTTCTAAATATCTTTCATTTCTAAATCTTTTTCATGTCTTTTTCCTAAAAATTGAATAACCATAGAAAGGCATGTTACATTTTTCTTAAATATGTCTTTTGTGGATTATCGGATATAACTGAGATCTAAAATATCAATGTCTACGCAGTTAAGCGATCAGGTATGGAAACAATACAAAATCCAACGTCTATGCTATAAGCGGGGAATTTGGGTATCGCAGGAGTTGATCAGATATGTCAATCCTTCCATTCTTACAAAGCTACTACCATTGGAACACTGGTCCTTGATACGTGTAAGTAATCTCCAGCAGCAAACTAAAACGTTTTCTTCTTTTCCGGGCATTTTCCTGTCAGCAGACATCATCTTTTTTATAGCTAGGTGTTCCAAGACGTTGAATGACGTTGCCATTCTTTATTTTGTTTTTACGCATTGATTTTCTATAATTAGCGATAAAAATGTCATAACCTCTCCAATTTAATTCCAAATTTCACCAAATGAAGTTTCATTAACATTGTAGCGACAGGTGAAATATCAAACATCTTTATGTGCTACAACAGTGCAATTTTTAATTTCGAAAAAAATGTCAATGTCCTGTAAATGTGCAAAAAAGTAACATGCTCCGTGAAGCATGCTTTATATTAATAATATAGCTATATATTTTTTAAAGGTAATCTGAAAACACGAAATCTTTGCATATACATTAGAAAATAGATATAGTTTTTATTTCCATCTATGACACAGTTCTGTTTTGACAATGTTTGCTTCTTTTAAACACCAGAAATTTTTCTCCATTCTGGGTTCTTTTTTTATTTTCGAGTAAAGGAAGAGGGAAGAGGAGAAGACAACTGGGTAAATATGAATAAACAGTTTAAAAAAAAACATGAATTCAAAATAGAATAAGATAATTAATTAAAAAACAATATATATTTCACAAGCATAATATAGTTTATATTGAGAAAAAATATTTCGCAATTTGAAGACCCTTATGCAATAGTTTATTCTTGGAGTACTTGTAAAGTATTGAAATGTTTGAGACAATTGAAAGTTCTATTAAGAGTAACTAGAAAGAGCTTGACATCATGCTATTCATTCTAAAATACATGGTGGAAAGTGTAGGGACTGGGGAGTCCGCAGTGGTATGTGCTGACACTTTCTGCTCCAAAACCTGGGTGTCTCCCCCACTTGCTCTTAAAGCAAGGGGTTAATCACAGGATTTAATGAAAAGTTTATATTAAAAATAAAATATTTATAAAGTTATGACACAGTTAACTGGGCCATGTTGTCACTATTCTAATGGTTTTGGTATAGAGGGGCCCACACCGGATATGGCTGGGGTCACATCCACCTCACTCAAGTGAGGGGATGCTACAGGCTGGTGCATGTAAAAATTAGGCTTATGTATATGCCTCTCCCACGCAAAACTTAAACAAGGTAGCACTGCAGGAGTTAGGGTAAGAAGAGCAGGTCTCGCTACCCGCCTTAGAACGCTGGCGATCGTTCAGGCCTGGGCACTGATGTTTCACGCAGTGTGTCCCTTACATGTGTAGTTAATTAACTGGGGTAGTGGTCGGCTCCCCAGTTTCCCAACAAAAAATATGCATGCGACCAACATCCACCACTTATGATCAATGTAATGAATGTTTAAAAAATATATATATCTGTTTTTCAGTTATCCCTTGGAATCGGTACTTATTAAGTTAGGATAATCAAAGTGCATTTAAAGCTGTATCGCATGGGGAATTTTGTGTGTTTGGTGAATTCAAAAATTAATTATGCATTTTTCACGACTATTTTTAATGCCAGCTAAAAAGCAATACAATTATACACTTCTGTTTTCATATTTGGAAATTGTACTTGAAAAAGACATTAATGGTAATGTAACAACCAAGCTTTATGATAAACGTGATGACTTTAACTTTTCAATCGTCAACTTCCCTTACTTATGCAGAAATATACCTTCATCACCTGCATACGGGGTTTATATCTCTCAGTTGATTCGATACGCAAGAGCATGCTCTACTTATGTACACTTTCTAAAACGAGGTAAATTTTTGACAAACAAGTTGATGAAACAAGAATATCAACAGTCTCGTTTAAAGTCATCATTTCGTAAGTTCTATGGTCGATATAATGACCTTGTCAGCAAATACAATTTATCATTGAGTCAAATGCTGACTGACGTTTTTCATACTGATTGTTAGGCCATTATTTACACACTGAATTGTCGACGGACTTTTCCGTTATTTCCCGATCATGACAAGGAGCGCACGGCGGGTTGGACCGGTCGGCAGGGGATGCTCACTCCTCTATGGCACCTGATCCCACCTCTGATGTTTCGGAGGTCCATGTTTGTTCTGCTCCTATTTTGTATTGTTTAATGGACTTTTGAGCTTGAATACTGTTCGTTATATCCATATATTTCATGAAGCAGAATTTATTCATAAACTTCTACATAAAAAGGAAAAAGTCTCTTGCTGTGGTCTTCAGTTAGTCATATCGATATACATGCATATCAACGACTTTTGATCATTTAAAATATCCAATTTCTTTCTTACGTTGATTTGACATATCAATTTGAACTCGAAATGAAAGATACCACAGGGTCTGTCACTTCTGTTTCATGTTTGGATATTTTACTTGAGAAAGGATCAATGGCAAACTCACAACTAAACTTTATTCTAAATGTCATAACTTCAACATTTCATTCATCATTCTTCCTTGTTAATGTAAATATATCATAATCACCTACGTATGATGTTTATTTCCCAGTACGTTCGATTTGCAAGAACATGCTCTAAGTACAAACAATTTCTGAAACAAAGCAACTTATTGATACATAAGTTGATAATACAAGAATATTTACAGTCTCGCGTAAATATTTCTTAAATTCTATGTTCGATACAACGACGCTGTAAGCAAATATAATATATCATTATGTCAAATATTAACTGAAGTTTTTCATACAAAATGTTAGGCCATTATTATTACACTGAATTGTCTGATTTTCCCGTTTATCCGATCATGACAAGAAGAACACATCGGGGATGACCGGGCGACAGGGGTTGCTTACTCCTCCATGGCACCTGATCCCACCTCTGATGTTTTTAAAGATCCGTGTTTGCCTTCCCCCCAATTTCTATTGTTCTAATGGCTTTTTGGGGTTATCTTTATATTTCATACCTAGATGAAAAATACATTTAATTGTATTATCTAAGTAATATTTTACATTTAGAGTATATAAAAGTTTTTATAATTTAAAAAAATAAGGAATTTCAAAATGATTTTTTGTTGTAATCTTATTTAGAATCAATTTACATTAATTAGACCAAATGTAAACTATTAGCACTTTTTGGATTAGATATGGTAAAATTAAGATTTTGAAATGCCGCATGTTAAAATGCGAAATAATTTTGTTTTGCAACCAATTAAAATAAATTTTACTCTGAATATAACTTGCAAAAAAAGCAGGTGACAATCCTCATTTGTTTCCGCTTATTATTCCGGTTTGCTCTAAAACTAAAAATAAAATTATATTTATATACATTAAATCAACAGGAAATATGCATTTTTGATAATTTTATTGGAAGAAATGGATAATATTGTTTTCATATTGCTCCTCAGCTTTGTTAAGTTTTATATTTCAACTGTTACCCAGGATCCCAACAGTTGTGGGTAAGATTAAAAGACGAAAAACAATTTCGTTTGTTTATTGTTGTTTCTCTTTTCTACACCAAAAAAAGTAAAAAAAAAAAGTCTTACAAATTAATTAGAGTTGCTTAAATTTCAGGGTAGGGGTGTGTTGTGCGGGCTATTTTCTTCATAATGGAAAATGTACAGGTATATTTTTGTTTAAATGAATTACATATTAAAAAGGTTTTATTGTCAAATGATCAAAGTTATTTTTACACAGTGTGCAGTTCTGGTCGAACAGGCAAAAACTGCAGTCAAAACTGTCCTCCTGGATTTTATGGAGAAAACTGCAAACATTTATGTCCCTTTGAATGTAACATTACCTGTAATAAGGTCACAGGAAAATGTCCACGTAAATATATTTTTTGAATTTTCTTACTTATTTTTCGTATTTTTTAGACAATGATGGTTATGAGAGATTTGAACTTTAATATAGCATTATTACTTCCCCTGTATTAAGATATTGCAACAATGCATTCTATCCTGTTTGAAATTCTCAGCATGCACGCAACCCTTCAAAACAGCAATGATTGCTACCACGATCAATGCTTATGTAACAGAAGTAACGTTTTTCCTTTTCAAATGTGCTTTAAAAATATTTTATAATAAAATATGGTATCTATCTATAAAAGCTAACGACGCGTGGGACTCTAGCATTGAGACACAGATAGAATACTTTCTGAAGGAGAAAGCATGGATTATAGGAGGTGTAACCTTCCTTGTATTAGTCATCCTGTGTAGTTCTATTGGGGTTATTCACATCTCTCAAGCCTTGTAAGTATAAATCCATTGATTTTGTTTCCTCTCTTTGCTCACAGTCTTTTGGTCTTCATGGAACCAAGTCCATGATTATCTTTGAAAATTGAGAAATAAATATATTGATACATGTGTTAAACGATTAAAGTGACTGCTCTTTTTCTTTTTATATTTGTAAATAATAATTGATTCTTATTTTCCTATTCATATTTTATTTTGCAGGAAATGTGTGATAATTAATAGAACAAATGGTAAATATTTGCATACTTTTTTTACATTCATAATATGGTAAATGGATAACTTTTCGATAGCTTAGTAAAACTCAACAGTATATTCTTTCTAACTTAAATGGTATTTTTTACATAACAATTTTCTTGACATTTGTAAAGAATAGACTGTCGGTTTCAATCTTTATCTTGTACTTAGATCATACCACAAATCAAAGCCCACAGTCATCAAACAGTGTGAGATATGAAACTGATTATCCTAACACTCCGAGTGGATCTCTTCAAGCAAATCATGATGAAAGCAGATCAACCAAGAATTCATCAAATAAAAGGGAAGCTAAACCATCCTGCGAATACAGTAAACCTACTCAAAAGAAGCGATACAGCTTTATCTGGAAGTCATCAGTGTCACAGGAAATGACATTATATCCGGATGTTTCTGAGGATGATGAGGGCAGTGAAGAGTCTGACGACCTTATAAAGACTACCAGTGGTATACAAATCTCAGGACTTCCCAAGAAACAGTCTTTTAATACCTTTCAGTCCCTGGATGAAAAAATAGAGACAGACCATGGAGCAAACACTACTTATGGAAATGTTTGGAAATAGAAAAAAAATACACATGTAATATTGACATAGCTTTTTACTAGCCACCATAGTTTACAATTCAATGTTTTGCAACATATTTCAGCATATTACTCTATAGGTATTACTCTCTAATATCATAAAAAATTGCCTTTGGCATACGTAATTTTTGGCATAAAAGTATGTATTTCCTCTATGTAAGCTTTGTAAATATGTATGTAACATATAATAATCAAAGACCCAGCATATAAAATTTACGGTCTGTACTTATGTATTAACATTATTACAGAACAGACGACATGTTTATTTTACTTTTCATCAAGTACAGAGCATAAATTTCTTCCTGTCATTGCTATTTTTGTAAATTGTTTTCATACAGGAGACATGAAAACATAACATAAATGACGCCAAAAAGTCCATTAGAACTATATAAATTGGGAGTAGAGCAAACATGGACATCGAAAAACATCCTCTGTCGACCGGTCACACCCGCCATACAAATCACATATCTTTGTAAAAGGTGAAGATAACGAACACTGATCGATCTAAAAAAATCTACAAACAATTCAAATCTGTTAACAGGTCAAAAAACTCGAAGCCCTAGAAATTGCAGAGGTGGGATCAGGTGGGATCAGGTGTCTGAGAGGAAGGAACCCCTGTAGACACCCGCCATAAGCCCTATGTATTGATCAGGCAGACGGAATATTTCGTAGTCAAATTAAGTATAAAAACAAAAGCCTAACAACTGGTATGAGAAGTTCAGTCAAAATACGACCAAATGAAAGTTACATTCGCTAACAAGGTCATAATTAGGATCATAGAATTTACGAAATGCTGACTTTAAACATGGTCGTTGAAATACATGTAACATCAACTTATCTGTCAGTACCCTTTCTCGGTTTAAAAAAATAATCTTATTTGAATCATGCTCTTGAGTATCGAATAAGTTGGGAGGGGTTAACTTCATATCCAGGTGATAACGGAATATTACAACATAAATCAGGAAAGTTGACGATTTTCATTACCATCAAGGAGATTATTTTGTTCTGTGAATAAATTCCATAATATTATGAATGGAATATGGAGAACAGAGCTCAACCTCAAAAGTCCAATGAAACTTTACAAATCGGGAGAAGATCAAACACGAACCTCTTAAAGCATCAGAGATGGGATCAGGTGCAATAGAGGAGTATTGTAAGCATTTCTTGTCGACCGGTCACAACCGCCGTCTGCTCCTTGTCATGATCGGGCAAATGAAAACGAAAAAAAAAATTCGTAGACAATTCAGTGTGTAAATAATGGCCTAAAAATTAAATGACAAAAAGAAAAAATCAGTCAGCATTTGACTTTATGATAACTTTTATTCGCTGACTACGTCATTGAACTTGCAAAGTATTGACTTTAAACGAGACTTTTGATATCCTTGTTTCAACTTCTTGTTTGTCAATAGTTTGTCTTAAATTGTTCGATCGTAGAGCATGCTCCTGCGTATCGAATCAACTGGGAGATATATGCAGGTGATAAGGATATATTGCTACATATAAAGGAAGTTGAAATCAAATCCACATTTTAAAGTATCTCTCACATACCTCTTGATTTAAATGAATATGTTATATATTGAATTCATTACAGCTCTGTGTATATTTTGGGGGAAGAGCTTCTTACATCCATGATGCAAAAGAAGGTGCAATGCGTTTCTTGGTTATGACCCATAAATTCAGATGATATGCACATTTAGATATGAACATCTGAATTTGCACATTCAGATAAGATTAAAAAACAGTATACTTATGTATGCAAATCATATACGGTACCAATTTTGATGCACCATATTCGCATTTCGACAAATTATGTCTCTTCAGTGATGCTCATGCCATAACTTTGGAAATCCAAAATATTTAAATAAAAAGGACTCCGGAGAGCTGAAAAAAGGTGCCAAAGACTGAACCCAAATGTCGAAGGATCAGAGCTATGCATGGGTGAGATAATCCTTAATTTTGAAATAAATTTCGAAATTTTACCACAACAATTAAATATATATCCGTATTTTCAGGCTAGTACCGAAGTACTTAGCTATTGGGCTGTAGAGACCCTCGGGGACTAACAGTCCACCAGCATAGGCCTTGACCCAGGGGTCATAATGTAAATCATATACGGTACAAATTTTGATGCACTAGATGCACATTTCGACAAATTATGTCTCTTCGGCGATGCTCATGTCGAAACGTTGGAAATCCAAAATATTTAAATAGGAAAGACTTTAAAGAGCTGAAAAAAGTATGTGGGTGGGTGGGGGGAGGTGTTATTGGCACAATATAAAAAAATATATTGTATGATTTTTTTCAAAATGGTATCAATGTTTCTTTCACACGGGAATCACACATGATTTGGTAAAGGACATATTTGATTTGGATTTATTCGACGTTTGCATCAGGAAGTTAAGAATAAAATGGAACAAAAATATGGTTATTGTTTTATTTTTAGTACACGCTGCTCTTTCATATACCAAAGGTCAATAAGTGTATAGATAAAGGTAAGATATAAATTCGATGCTAATATGCGAACAGACCTATTTGTGTTATTCGGAGTTTGAATTGCATGACATCTCGCCATTACCGTGATCATCGTAGAAAGTTATATTTTTAATAACACATCTATGTATGGGACCCCTTTTCAAGCATTTATATATCCATCGTCAGCAACAGAATTTGTGCTATTTAGGCCATTGACTCCACACTTCAGTCATTAACGACTTAACGACATGCTGAATTTACAAACAAGGTCATTGTATCGAACCTAGAATTTGCAAAATGTTAACATTTCAGGAAGTGTTAAATTTTCTTTTTAAACTTCTATTTTCGAAAGTTGTAGTTCTGTGAATCTGTTATGTATTATCTTGAAATATGGCTCAGTGCCTTTTTGTAAAAAGAATACGTATGTACAGCATGAGACTTGTAAGATGCCTGGATCATTTCCATACTGATTTCAATCTCATTTTGGTAGTTGTTAATACATATAAAATATGCACAAGTATAATCAAATACTTTTGGAACACATTTCCTATTATGTATTAAAAATATTAAAAAACATTTAAATCCTTTCATTGAGCAAATTAAAAAAAAGGGAAAGAATATTGCACATAAGGAATTTAATTTTAATTTAACAACAATTTAAGTGTAAAAGCAAGTATGTTTCAATTGAATGTTATTTGTGTTCATATTACAGAAATGTAAGACTCAAACGAACATATCCTGCAAAATTAAAATAAAATTGGAATGATAAGATGTTTCTAATTAAATGATGCCTAATATTAAAACGTTCTAAAAACCAAACACCTGATGTTTATTAATAATGAAGGAAGGGTGCTTTTTTCCGGGTCATTTGAAATATATATGTGTTATATATTCAAAGAATTTTATGAGGAAGCATATCATGAAATAAATTTGTGGTAGATGAAAATGGACGTTGTGTCGTCTCTAATATTCCTAAATGTCTTTCATGCCGCTGTCACAAATGATTCAAACATGTGTGGGTAAGAGACAAAATACAGTAGGCTTTATCAATGATTTTTGGCTATAGCAGATAGATATCATGAATAAAAAAAATCTTTTTTTTTTTTTAGACTTGAAATATGCTGCACCGGATATTTTCTCCAAGACAACAAATGTACAGGTAACATTTAGTTAAGAAAGTAAATATGTGGTATTTCAATGGAACACTTTGAATGTGTTATTCTGATTGCAAAACACGTATATGTTCCTCATTGAAGTATATAAAAGAAAATAATTTGGTCTTTCATTAAAAAAAAAAATAAAAAAAATTACAAAGTATAATAATATAATGGTAATTTGCATAAATATGTCATTCATGCATTTCATACCAATTGTTCCAAAGAACATATAATCTGATAAACCAGTAAAACATGCATAAGTATGTTGTTTGCTAAATCGGAATAAAAAAATGAAAAAAAAGTAAACATAACGAACAGAGAACAATCGTATAAATCCAATTAATAATACCAATTGGGAACAAGGCAAATACACGGACTCCTGTAAACATGAGATGGTATCAGGTGCCTAGGTAGGAGGAAAAAGCATCCCCTGTAGACCGGTCAAATTCACTGTGAGCCCCTTGTATTGAGTAATTCGTAGTTAAAAATAATGAAAAAAAATAAATTGTATAAAATAATAACTCAACAACAGGCTGAATTTTCAAACAATGTCATTTGAAGGAACAAAAAATTGCAAACTGTTGACTTTAAAGGAGATTGTTGAAAGCCCTGAATCAACAACTTATTAGCCAGTACCCTGTCTCTAATTTAAAGTTTGATCGGACTCAGAAAAAGTTTCAGATAAAATATATGGAGATAACAAACAGTATTCAAGCTCAAAAGTCCATTTAAACAATACAAATCAGGAACAGAGCAAATACAGACCTCTAAAACATCAGAGGTGGGATCAGGTGCCATGGAGGAGTGGGCATCCCCTGCCGACCGGTTAGATAAGTCCCTTAAAGTATGACGTCACCGTGTCTTTGATCCGTTTAGATGCTTTAGAACTGAAGGGTTACACCAATTTGACTAAGGTCAATGCACGTGCACGTATTTTAAAATATTAGGCAGATGTATATACTATATGTAAATACTATTTATAGAATGTTATCCAGGAAAAATCGGAAATAATTGCATTGGAGAATGTCCTGAAGGCTATTACGGAAAAAAATGTAAAGAAAGGTGCCCGACGATGTGTTTACACAACTGCAATAAATCTACAGGGATTTGTTTAGGTAATTTGCAAACGATTAATTGGACAACTGATTAAAAGTCGCTGTTTTTCTTAATTGCAATGTATGCAACAATTACGAAAAAAATGTTTGCAAAAAGGAACAAATATACTCAAAGCATGAAAATTTATTTTGGGATAGAAATAGAGACGTTCTTGGAGGATAAACTGTTGATCATTGTCGCAGCATCATCTGTTCTTGTTATCATTTCATGTAGTTGTATTGGAGTATTTCTCCTCTGG